TGTTTTCACGTGGCGGTTCCCTGTGTGTGTGTCTGTCTCCACATTCCCCTTTGTATCAGTCATGTTGGATTTGAGGCCCAACCTAATCCACTATGACCTCATCTTGACTCACTAATTACATCCTCAATTATCCTATTTCCAAATAAAGTCACAGTCTGTGGTTCTGGGGGTTAAGACTTCAACATATAAATTGGGAGGAAACAATTCAAGCCATAACAGTCCACCCTCTTGTCCCTAAAAATTCATGTCCTTCTCACATGCAAAATACCCCATCCCAACTCCCCCAAAAGTCTTAACCCACGCCAGCATCAACTCAAAGTCCAAAATCTCGTGTAAATTCACCTAAGTCGGGTACAGGTGAGACTTGAATAGAACTGATTCTGGGACAAAATCTTCTCCAACTGTCCACTTGTAAAACCAGACAAGTTATCTGCCTCCAAAACATGATGGTGGGACAGACACAGAGTAGACATTCCCATTCTAAGAGGGAAAAGTTGGAAGGCAGAAAGGGGTCATGGGTTCCAAGCAACGCCAAAGCCAGCAGGGCAAACCCCATTCCATTTTAAGGTTCGAGAAGAATCCTCTTTTGCTTGATGCTCTGTCCTTGGGGCCTGGCATGGCAGCCCCACACTCCGAGACCACCAGGGTGGCAGCCACATCCCTGAGGCCCAAGTCCTCTGAGCCCGTGGTGGCAGTGGCCGCCCCACTGGCCTCTGCATCCGGGGCTCCGCCCTCAAAGTCAGTCTTCCTCCACTCCACTCCATGTGCCCCTTTCAGTCCAGGCAGGCGTGTTCCTGTTCGTGTAAAATTCTCAAAAACCCTCTCGTCCTCCCATGCAATCCACGGAGGTCCAAGCCAACAGGCAAGACGATCCTCCAGATCTTGCTGGATAAGCACATTGCTATTCCTGGCCCCTGATGACGTGGTTGACTGCATCTGTGGTCACACAACTAGTCCCTTTAGCCAAAGGGGGTCCAGCACCCCCACAGCCCTGTTATCTCGATAGACTGAGAATTTTTCAGATCTTCAGGTTCTGCTTCCTCTTTGCTTGCAGCATAATTCCTCCTTCAATTTCTCGCTCTCCTCCCTAGTCGGCTACAAGCAGCAAGGAGAAGCGAGGCCGCACCTTCAACACTTGGCTCACAAGTCTCACTTTGCACAAAACATTAGGACACAATTCAGCCAAGTCTGAAGCCGCTCTGTAACAAGCATCACCTCACCTCCAGGTTCCAATGACATGTTCTTCATTTCCTGTCTGAGCCCTCACCGGACCTGCCTCTAACGTTCATATTTCTACCAACAGTCGTCAAGACAATTTGGCTTTTTCTAACATGCATCTCAAAACGCTTCCAGCCTCTACCCATCGCCCAGTTCTAAAATCACCTCCACATTTCTAGGTATTCGTTACATCACACCCCCTCATGGTACCAAGATCTGTATTAGTTTCCTATGAGCAGCTGTAACAAAGTCCCACAGCCTGGGCAGCTTAAACAGCAGAGATGTCTTGTCTTAGTTCTGGAGGCCAGAAGCCCGAGGTCAGGATGTTGCAGGGCTGGTTCCCTCTGAGGTCATGAGGGGTGACCCGGCCCAGGCCTCCCCAGCCCCAGCTTCTGGTGGTTGCTGGCAATCTTGGCATTCCTTGGCTCGTAGAAGCATCTCTCCAATCTCCGCCTCCATCTTCACATGGCTCTCCCTGTGCATCTCTGTGTCCAAATCCCTCTTTTAGAAGGACACAGTCTTCTGCAATTTGGAGCCCACCCTACTCCAGTATGACATCATCTTAACTTACTAATTACATCCACTATGACCCTATCTCCAAATAAGGTCACTTCTGAGGTACTGGGGGTTAGGACTTCATCGTATGAGTTTGGAGGGACACTATTCAACCCATAACACCACCCATTCCCAGCATCTTTCCAACAGTGCCCTGGAGGGGGGCCTGGCAGGGCTGACGCCCAGAGCGGTGCTGAGCTCATGGCCCCAGGGGTGACAGAGAAGGAGTAGGGACATGTCTGTGCAGATGGGGGCTTCTGAGCTGGGCAAAGACAGCCCCCTAGGATCTGGAGGAGAGATAGCACTGCTGAGAAAACTTGAGAAAAGATAGGGGCAAGGTCTCCAGATGCTCAGGAGAGTGGGGAGGTGGGTTCTGCCCCTGGGGGACCAGCAGAGAGGGGGCCAGGCTGAAGAGCAGGCATGCCTGGCCCTGTCCGGGCAGTGGCAGGCAGTACAGTGGCTGGAGAGAAATGGGAGGAGCTGAGGGTCCAGGAGGAAAGGTGCCTGTGAGACTGAGATGGAGAAGTGTGGTAGGGGACCCGGGCAGGGACCCCATGTCCACTCGGCTGCCTTGGGCCACTCTGGTCCCCAGGGAGAGGAAGAGGAGTCTGGGAGACAGCCCATTAGGGGGCCACCCACTCTGGGACCTGCCACCCCCGGGACCCAGCGTCCAGGGGCCAGACCCAGAGCACTGCAGGGTGCAACCTGTTCAACACTGACTGATGGAGCGATTCAGCACACCCCGAGACCCAGCCGAAGGCCTCCTGTGAGGACAGCATGCTCACAGGCTGGCCCTGAGCAGCAGAGCCACTGGGAGGAGGCATCTGGAAAAGGAGGGTCCAATCCCACCCACTCCTCAGGGAACCACACAAAAGTCTAACCATGTGGTTCCTCCACCAGCAAATGGGGCCCATGTCTCCTCTGTGGGGCAGCTGAGAGCCGGGGCTGGAGGCCTGGATATGGGGGGGGCACACAGCCCCAGGCCCACCACTACAAGCATCCCCTGAACTGGGGTGCTCCGTCCTCGCCTCAGGGGTTCTGGGCAATACTGGCCCCAGTGCTGACTCAGCCACAGACCCTGCAGTGGGACACCAGTTAGTCAATTCATGGGACAGGCCTGGCACCAGCGGGCACCAGCCACTCGGCCCAGCCCCCCTGGTCCTGCCACACTCACTCCAGGCCTCACTCCCGCTCCCCCTCCCCCTGTACCCTCAGGAGCCCCTAGCCTCACAGCCTATGCTGTGTCTGTCTTCCAGGCAACTCCCAACCTCTGAAGGTGTTCCCCATACTCCCAGGATGCAAAGCCCTAAAGGAAAATGAACCTGTGGTCCTGGCCTGCTTGGTAATAGGGTACTCCCCAGAGCCGGTGCAGATCACCTGGCCCTCAAAGATGCAGGATCAGACCACATGGACCTTCCAGTTCTTGAAGCAAGAACAAAGCTACAACAAGGTCTCCTTCCTGAAGACCCACTGGAAGCCTGGCCAGCACAGCTGCAGCGTCCACAACAAGGCCACCAAGACTGACATGAAGAAGACCTTCCAGGAGCCAGGTGGGTGGCCCCAAGACCACCGAGGTAGGCCCTCCCCATCTCCCCGGCACCTTCTACCGAGGGCCTGGCCCCATGGACCGAAGCAGGGACCTGGACCACAGGGCACCCACCAAGCCCCTCAGAGTGCCTCCCCGCCCCTCGGTCCCGCCATCTCTCAGCTGCTCCATCAATCCAACATTCACAGCCTTTCCTTACAGAACCTCTCCCCAGGGTGCAAGGCAGCAGCGGGCTCAGAAGAGGCAGCGGCTGACAGTGGGGCCTCAGTGCTGCCCCACCCACTCCGTGCTGCCCTGTCCCCCCCATGATGCCCCTCCCCCCTACAGTGTCCGGTCCCCACTCCTGCTTGCCCCCGGAGTCTCTCCACCTCCATCCACAGGGCTTCCTGACCCACAGCTGCCCACTGTTCCTCTGATTTCAGCATCTTGGGCAGCTCAGAAGCCCTCAACTTTACCTGTACCACGAGAGGACTCCACCAACGCCCCCACCACTCTCAGGAACCCAGGTGAGGAGCCCCCATCCCAGCATACCCCACCTGCCCGCCCTTCCCTCAGGCTGCCTCCTTCAGGCAGCCTTCCACGACTTCATGTGTGAGTCTTCAAGTCACACCCTGTGTAAGGAAGGGCAGGGCACTGAAGTGACATCTACCTAGCACCAACACCATGCCGGGCCCTGTGAACAAGGGACCTGCCCTGGTCACACCACAAGGAGCACAGTGGCAAGGCAGGGTCCATGGTCCAGCACCAGGGCTCACCTGACCCAGGGCACATGAGACGTGAGCTCATCACGGGGTGTCATACGAGCACACATTACTGGAGCAGCCAGGAGTGCAGGACTGAGCCCTGCAACGTTATAGAAACATAGGGTACCCCCTGAAGGGCCGGGGAGCCATGATGGCCAGACCCAGAGGCTCACCGCGACGGGAGCCCTTTGTGAGCTGCCCTCACCTCTGTCTCCACCTGGCTGCGGCCCCTCCCAGTGATGGGAGCCTGGCTGGGCCAGCCCAGGGTCATGTCCCCTCTGTCTGCTGCCTCGGGAAGAGGGTTCTCATCCCCCTGAGAGGGCAGCAGCCATGTTAGCAGACACAGCTAGTGGAGGCGTGCTGGACAACACTGCACCAGCCCCAGCGGTGCTGGTGGAGCTCAAACAAGAGGCCAGCAGCCGTGGCCTGGTATGACAACCTTGCAAGGGGCCCCATCCAGGTTGTTGGTCAAGAGGCCCACACCCCAGGCCAGAATCTGCTCCCACTGTGCACGTCCAGAAAGGCGGCACTCCCTGTCTCCAAACACTCCCAGCCTCCAGGCTCCACATAGGCTGGAAATGCACAGGGCACGGGCGAATCTAGAGAGAGGTCAGTCCTCTGGTGAGGATGTGGAATGGGACCAGCGCTGAAAGCAGGGGTATGCACAGGTCGCTCCCCATCCTGAGGGCATCCGCACTTGGCCCCGACCACGACACCTGCCGCCAAATCCCATGGCCACCAGCCTTGCCGGCTGGTGGAGGCTTCGCCTGGGCGGAGCTCCAAGATGACACTGCAGCCAGGCTGGGCCTCCTGCTCTGGGGCTGCACGGACCTCCAGCGCAAGATGACCCTCCATGGGGCACGTCTGAGGTGTGCTGACCCCAGGAGCCGAGCCCTCCAAACAGGCCTGCGCCACTCCACCCGGGAGGGGCCCCTGACCCCGATGCTGCACAGCTCTCACCGGCCTGCAGGCCAGACGCAGTCTGGAGCCTGTTTTCTATGACCCAGGAATGCTTTTTCCAGTTTTAGACAGACAGAGAAGGAGGAAGAGGAAGAAGAAACGGAAACCCTATGGCTGCAAAGCCTAAAATATCTACTATCTGGCCCTTTATAGAACAAGTTTGCTGACCCCTTGCCTGTTGCAAATCCGTGGCCCAATACCTCAGGCCACTCATGCCCTGAACTACAGAAGTGATGGTCCTTGAGCACTTAGCACAGACCACCCCACTCCCGACCACCACGTGCACAGTCAGAGTCCTGCCATAACCCGAGGACACAATCACGGAGCACTGCCCAAGGGACCACAGTGGTGTGGGCGGGGCTCAGGACCCCCAGAGGGTGGCAGAGGCTGAAGGGTAGGGGGCGGCCACAGCCCCGACCAGCTGTGGAGCCAGGAGGAGACCCTGCCTCACCCCTACCTCCCTCCGCAGTGCCCTCCACCTGCAACACCCAACCAGAAGCCCAGAAGCCGGGAAGCCCAGTGGAAGCTGCCATCAAAGGTCTGTCCCTTGGGGCACAGAGTGAGAGGAGAAGGGAGGAGAACAGCTCAGGGGGCACTGGGGAAAGCTTGGTCTCCAACGAGTCTCTAGCTGGCGACAGGAGGCCACCCGTGCACAGCACTTCTAAGCAGCAAAGGCCAGGTCTGCTCCGGGGAGAAAGGGCAGGCCTGGGGGCCAGGCTGCAACAGAGAACACAGCAGCACTGCCCACAGTACCACCCATGAGCTGGATGCTATGGGCATGGCTTTCCCAACCCTATGATGCACCCCCCGCCCCTGGCACAGGGGGGGCTTCTCATCCTGCCCATCTCTCCCTCTCCCCTCACAGAGTGTCAGAACCACACCAACCCTCCCAGTGTCTTCCTGCTGCCCCCTCCCCTGAGGGGCCTGTGGCTCCAGGGCGAGGCCGCCTTCACCTGCCTGGCAGTAGGGGATGACCTGCAGGAGGCCCACTTGTCCTGGGAGGTGGCTGGGGTGCCCCCCAGCAGGGGCGTGGAGGACGGGCTGCTGGAGCAGCTCGCCAATGGCTCCCAGAGCCGGAGCAGCCGCCTGGCCCTGCCCAGGTCCTCGTGGGCTGCAGGGAACTCCATCAGCTGCAGTCTGAGCCACCCCGACCTGAAGTCCAGCATGGCGGCAGTGCTGCTGAGAGAACACGGTGAGGCCGGCTCCCGGAGGTGGGGGGGAGACAGGGTGGCCTCGGCCCCTCACAGCCTGTCCCCCAGCCCAGCGGCTCGCCTGGCTACTGCCTTCGAGGAGACATCAAGGGGGCAGAGACCTCAGCCTCCAGCAGCCAGAGCATGACCCAGCTTCTCCCCGCAGCCGCGTCGGCACCCAGCAGCCTCATCATCCATGCCCTGACCACACCGGGCCTGCACGCCCCTGCCTCCTGGCTCCAGTGCAAGGTGTCCGGCTTCTCACCCCCGGACATCCTCCTCACCTGGCTGGAGGGCCAGCGCGAGGTGGACCCTTCCTGGTTTGCCACCGCACGCCCCATGGCCCAGCCTGGAAAGACCACGTTCCAGACCTGGAGCGTCCTGCGTGTCCCGACCACCCCGGACCCTCGAACGGCCACCTACACGTGTGTGGTCGGGCACGAGGCCTCCCGGAAACTGCTCAGCAGCGCCTGGAGCCTGGACACTGGCGGTGAGTCACACGCAGGCACAGGGGTTTTGGTCCCAGCTGCCCCTAGACAGAGCTGGGATGGAGGGACAGCCCTCCGGAGGAGCTGGGCAGCTGGCACTGTGGCAGAGGGTCTGTGCCACCCAGCTGGGTGGACCCCCAGCCTGCTCAGCGTCTGGAGCACTGGGCTTTCAATGACCCATGCCTGTCCCCCTCGACCCACAACCTCATGTCCTCACACCATATGTTGGCCCAGGAGGCCGTGGGGGAGGATGCCGCCCCTGCCAGGCCCTGAAGAGCAGCTATTTCCCACCAAGATGTGCCCGCTCTTGCTGGGTGCAGAGCAGGGGCCTCCCCTGGGGTGGACGTGGGGGTGGTCACCCACGACTGCTGCCATCCCAGGGATGTCTGAGCCTCCCCAGGCCCCAAGACGTCCACCCGTCCAACAGCACAGTCAGCACCTTGGAGGCCAGACACGCACAGAAGTGGAGGCCTGACTGCTCGCTGCCTGGGCAGGGGGACAGAGACCACCGGGGCGGGGGCTCCCAGTGGGGGTCCAGGGCTCACCCTCCCCTCTAAGACCTATGGCCAGGCCCCTCTTGCTTCCTCGTAGGGGAGCAGCACCCAGACCAGTGCCCCCTCCTTGCCCAGCACAGCCATGATGGGATGGTGGTGGACACGCTGGGCCAGGCAGACAGCAAGACCCTGTCCTGCCCCCATTCGGGCATGGGGTGGCAGCAGGAGGTGCAGTCCAGTATGAGCCGGGGACCCCCAGGCTGCCCTTTGGAGCTGGCAGAGGGAGATGCCCAGTGGGGCCCAAGTCAGCAAGGGGCAGGGCAGGGGCAAAGGCTGTGCCAGTCTCTACTGGGCCAGGGCTGCTGGCTTGGAGACCTTGCCGACCCCCACCATGGGCTTCCCTCGGGAGTGGAAGAGACGTCCAGACAACAGCGCTGACCCCGCTGCCTCGCACAGAAGGGTCAGCAGTGATGGCATCCTGGTAGGCAGCAGCCCCACTGGCCCCACAGGGCTCCCGCCGGAGAGGCAGCCACTCCTCAGCCCCCCGGCCCGCCCGCCTCTGCCTCAGCAGGTCTCTCCTAAAGACCCAGCCCCAGCCCCTGGCTGCCCACCTGGGGCCGGAACCCCTTATCCACAGCCCGTTTTCATAGCATTGCCCCCTCCCCATCCAGCCGCCATCAGTACCAGGCCAACTGTCATGGCTCATACTTCTGGGCCTGTCCATTCTCTGGTCATTGAAGTGGCCTCCTGACCCTGTCTGTCTTTCCTCCCCTGGGGGCAGTGGGAAGGACACTCCCTCGAGAGCTTCTTGAGGGTCAGGTCCCCGCTGACCCTCCTCCCCGCCTCCTCCCCCCACCCAGTGGACAGGCCACCCCCAGGCACAGACCGGGTGGTCTGATGTCACAGGTGAGGCTGGACCGGACCCCTGGCCAGACCCAGCTAAGGCTGGAGGCTGATCTGCCAGCATGCACAGAGCCCCAAGTTCCGGACTACGGGGTGTGCACCCCTGGGACACCCGAGCACTGGCATGTGCCCGGCACGTGGAGAGACCAGGGGAGCCCAGTGGTCGGGGCGCAGGCTGGAGTGTGGCTGCCTGGGTCCACACGCTTGCCCTGCACTGGGCTGTGGCGCCTGCACTTGCACCCGCCGTCGCTGTGCGTGGAGTGAGTCTGGGCAGGGAGGTGCTCAGCCAGGCCTCTCCCGGAGCCCATGCATATGAGCGTGTGTGAAGTGGGGCAGGGGTGTGCAGCAGGTGCACGAACGAGCAGGTCGGCCGCACCTCCCCAGAACCCAGCACTGCCCTCGCCCTGTGCCCGAAGCTGTGTGGTAGCCACGGCTTTCAGGAGGTGGGTCCTGTCCCTGGCGTGGACTTAAGGCTTCCAGAGCCTTGGTGCAAATCTACCATGCCTCCCGGCACAGGCCAGAGGTTTGTCCACCTGCCAGAACCGTGCACTCTGGAGACGGGCAGGTGGCACAGGCTGCAGGAGGCCTGGCCTGGCCCCCAGGGCCCCCCTGGGAGTGAGTGGGGAGAAAGCACTCCTCCAGGAGGCCACGCCCCTCACCACCACCCCCTCCCCAGGGCTGAGCCATGGGGACGTGCTCAGGAAGCCAACTGGGGCTTCCCTGCCTGAACACCCCCTCCTGCCAGGTGGAGGGCACCTGGACCTGCTCCCTGGTTTAGGTCCCCCTGGAGTGAGCCCATCCTCCACCACCTCCCCGCTAGCTGGATCACAGCCTTTCTCTTCCCCAGCCGCTGTCCTCAGCAGTTGTGGCTTTGCCTCCTCCAGGGTCCTGGCTGCGTTCCTCAAAGGACCCACAGGTTCCCCGCCTTCTGCCTCTATGGGCCTTTCCCTCCCTCTCACACCACTCTTCCCAAAGAAGGTAATGCTTGCAACATGCTCAGCACAGGCCTGGCAGGTGGGCTGCCCGCAGCAGCTGGCATGCCCCTGTGCATGTCGTTACTATCACAACACCTGGAAGGCTGCCCACACTGGCCCCCTTCCCTCCTGGCCGGGTCCTTCTCTTCGACCCCAGCTCTGCCTCCTCCCCACCACTCCCCACCCCATGCTGCCCATCTCACAAGAGGGTTACGTCTGCCTGGTCCCACAAACAGGAGCCAGGGGACCTCACCCCTCCTGTCACCCTCACGGCCAGTAACCTCCCACTCCTGAATACCTGGAAGCTTCCTGCTTCTTCCTCTGACCCACCCCTCTCCTTCCTCCAGTGGTCACAATGGCCTTGCTGCCAGTTTTGTCCCCTCCAGCACATCCTTCCTCAGTGGCCAAGGGAATCTTGTAAACGCCCATAGGGGTTCTGCTTGCAGTTAGGAGGTAGACGGTAGTGAAAGACCGCCACGCATGGGTAACAGAAGGACAACACCAAATAAACTTTTAAAATCGTGTTTATTTAAAGCCACTGGAGAGCTGAGGACTCGGAGAAGTCCAGCTGCCCTAAAGTCCTAGGTGAGAAGAGACTGTTGGCCGCTTTGTCCCCACCCTGGGCACAGGGGGACAGAGGCATGGGCACCCACGAGGAGAGGGACGTAAGGGGATCGGTCAAGATTTCCGTGTCTGCGCAGGCGGCACGAGGGAGGGGAGCACGGATGAGCCCCACACAAGTCCCCTCCTCCCACCGAGTCCCCCCACACAGGACTCCCCCGGGCAAGCAGCAGCAGGAAGAGAGCTGGACAGCAGTGGAAGACCGCCAGCCGTGCATGACGCCGCCATCCAGAAGCCCCACTGGAGGGAGGGACCTGACCCCACCCAAATATTTAGAGCCTGAAGCCAACTGTCCTGCCACCCAGCCCAGCTCAACTCCTGCTTAGAACGACAAGATCAGCCCCTCACCCTCCCTGCCCGGCAGAGGAAAGGGTGTGCCCACTCTGCGGAAAATGCATGTACATCCTACTTCAAGCTCTCCTGTTTGTTTGTTCACCATGTCCAGCATGCAATAAAAAATTGTGAGATACGCAAAGAAGCGAAAACTTTCATCCATAATTGAGATTAAAAATAGCAAATAGAATTCGACCCACACGTGATCCTGATGTTGGAATTAAGAACAATCCCCATCATGTCTCCCCCAGCTGAAATTCTGTTCATGGCTTCCTTTTGCCCTAAGGAAGCATTCCAGGTCCTGTCGCAGGGTTCCCGGTTGTGCCTGATGGACTGCCCACTGACCTGTCCTGCCAGGCTCAAGTGAGGATGCAAACAAGGCACAACTCCTCTCGGCTGAGGATCTTCTCAAGGCTGCTCCTGCTGCCCAGGGACTTCCCATCTCCTCCTCCAGCCGACTCTGTCATTCACATCTCCACAGACTCTCCCGTGTGTCTGAGAAGACATCTTTGACCCCCAGGGCCGGGTCACCAGGAGCCGGTACACCTAACGGATGGAGCGCTGGCCGGAGCACTGTCCAGGCAGAACCGTCATCCTGCTTAGCGGTCAGACCTACCCCCGGACAGTTCACCACCGCATTCCAAACCTCTAGAACAGGCTGTCTCAAATTCTCTGTGGCAAAGGACTGTTGCTTTTTTTTTTCATTTCCAGTTCATCATGGACCAATACCTTTGTAGAATACAGTGGAATTTGATTGTTAGAAAAATGAAATGGATAGAAAAAAGATGTACCGATTCTTTATTATTAGATTCAGCAGACAGCTGTACACGTTTCCAGTGCTCCCACGGTGTCCGCTCTTTCTTCCTGTGCCCCGTGACCGGTGGTTCCTGGGCTGGCACCCTCCACAGGCCCGTGTCAGTAGCTCTGGTCAGGCGCACTTAGAGCCTCAGTGAATGCTTGCCAAATGAACGACTGGGAAACTCTGCGACGCGTGACAGGTCCCAGAACCTGAAGACGTCCTACCTGCCCACAGGCTTTCCCCAGAAGTGTGTTTCCTGGGCCTGGACACTCACGGGTCCTGCCCATCTTGCCTTGGTGCCCCCACTCCAACCTCCAGCAGGAAAGACTTTTCTGATATACAAATTTGGTCATGACACGCCCTTGCTTAAAGCCCTTCCATGGCCCCCTATTGCTCTTAGGATAAAATCGCCAGCAGGGCCTGGACCCACCCCAGCTTTGGCCTCCTTCCTCACCACACACCCTGAGCTCTCCACTCCAGCCACACTGCGCCCTACTCCGCCCTCCTGCGGTCAGGCTCTCTCCCAAGACAGGGCATTCGTGCCTGCTGTTCCTTCTTCTTAGAATGCTTTTCCCTCCTCTTTTTGCCTGGTTGGCACCATCTCATCTTTCACACCTCATCACAGCAGCCACTTCTGAGAGAGGCCGCCACTGACCAGCCTGCCTGGGCCAGTCCCTGTGTGTCTCCATCTGCTTAAATGCCCCCACCTCCCTTGCACCTTGTCGGGCTGATGTGTTGACTTACAAGCAGGGGTGTTTGGTTCTCATCTGTCTGCCCCACTCATGCTGTGACCTGTCGGCTCTGCTGAGCCCCAGCGCCTGGCGCAGGCCTGGCCGGGAGAAGGCAGTTTGCAGATGCCTGTCGGGCAACTGTGAGACGGTGGACCCTTGACGGGGACAGATGAGAGTTGCCTGGCCTTCAGCTGTGCTGTGCATGGGGGGCAGGGCTGGCTCTTCTCACCCAGCCCCCGTCCTCCCCAGGTCTGGCCACAACCCCTCAGAGCAAGGATGAGAACAGCGATGACTATGCAGACCTGGAGGACACCGGCAGCCTGTGGCTTACATTCATGGCCCTCTTCATTGTCACCCTGCTGTACAGTGGCTTTGTCACCCTCATCAAGGTGAGGGATGGGGCAGCCAGCGCCCCTGTGTCCAGGGCTGGGAGGACAAGACGCCCCTCTAGGGACACTGGAGTCAGTCCAGGGATTGTGAGGGGAGCTGGGAGGAGTGTGCAGGGCCGTCGGTGGTCCGTGGACGACAGCCTGAGGGAGCCGCCTGGGGCCTCTCCACCCTTAGATGTAGGACTGCAACCCTGCCCTCCACCCACAGCCCTCCTGGAGAACAGGCGCTTCACACCCGTTCACAGGAGATGGGGAGAGTCGGGTCCCTGGCTCAGCTAGGCAGATGGGACCCGCACATGGGAGCCTGGCCCTGTTCTCCAAGAGCAGAAGTGAGGCCCCACCCCCGGCCATGTCATGTTCTCCTGGGGCCCTGGTCCTCGCTCCCCCTCTGCTGACCCCTCTGGCTACAAGCCCCTTCCTGACCCCTGGGCTCTTGCTGTAGGTGAAGTAGCCCCCGGAGAGTGGACATCTTGCACCGCAGAGAAGGGAAGCTCGTCCTCTGTGCCGTCCATCGCTGCCAGAGGGCAGACTGCCCCCAGACTCCACCCTGTGTGAGGAGGCACTCCAGCCCCATCTCTGCCCAGCCCCCAGCTCATCTCCGTCCACTGCAGAGCCTAGCATCCTGCCGGGAGAGAAGGTGCCAAGCGGCAGGGAAGCAGGTCTCTCCCCAGCCTGGGCCCGCACTTCCCCCAGAGCCAGTGGTCCTGACTGCAGCCCCCTGGCCTTCCTGCCCCACTGACCAGCCCCATAAACATGCTTTGGCTCATTTCACCTGCCTCCTGTCTCTCTGTCCCAGCCATCTGGATCTGCCTCGGGTCAGAGGACCCAGGGGGCTGAGGGAGAATGTCCCAGAGAGCTCACACACACAAGGTGGGGATTCTGGCGGTGGCCGGGCAGGCACCAGGGAGCTGCCACAGTGAGAAAAGCTGACTGAGCCTTTCTGCACTGAAGAGAACGGACTGAGAGGCCCTCCTCCCCACAGCAGACACACACAAGTACACTCACGCATGCAAGCACACGTGTGCACACAGGCATATATGCACATGCATACACAGCTCACTTGTGCACACACATGTGTGCACACACATGCAAGCATGCACATGTACGTGCAACGCACATATGCAGCCGCACCCCTGCAACCACAGAGTACACACACATGCATGCAAACACATGCAAGTGCACCGGCATGTGCAAACATGCACATGGGTACGCATGTGCTGGGCTGCAGGACTCACACAAAGTGCACACAAACAAGTAAGTGCACAGACATGTAAGTGCACATGTGCTCATGCATCCAGACACACACACACATTAGAAGATGGCCTTCAAGGGTGGGGATTGGAACATCTCTGCACACAGAGCTCCTGTATGTGTCTGGTTTCACCTCTTACTGTCTGCACAACCTGGGAAAGACCCTAAACTTTCCTGTGTGTTCATTCCCTCCTTTGGGGGAAAGCGCACCCCTCACATGGAGTGGGGTGGGGAGTAAATGAGGTGATGATGCCTGAAGGGGCTCAGAGAAGACCTGGCACTGTCAGTGCTCGGTGACTATCAGCCTCCTGCTGTGGCTCAGGGTCCCCCAGCAGCAGGCCAGAGTCTGGACTCGGACCTGGTCAGCTGCACAGTCTCCTCACTCCGCCAGGTGAAGAGATGGTCACGCAGTGGGGAGGCGAGCGTGGCGGACATCTGTCATGGGGGGTCCTCCCCACCACCGCCCCTCCCCACCTGGGACCAGGGGCAGGAGTGAGGCGAGTCACCCCTAAGGCCATCCATCCCCTGGCCAGTCCAGCCCCACCCCACCCTAGCCTCCTGACCCTCCACACCCACCACTCCTTCCTCTGAGCAGAACCACTGCCTGGGCTGTCCCATCCTGTAGCCTCTTCCAAGACTCTCAGGGCCCTCCTTCACCCCCTTCAGGTGTTTGCATGAAGCCAACCCCGACTGCCCTAAATGAAATCGCAACACACCCCCTGCCCTGTGCCCCTCCCCTGCTGAGTTCTCTTCTCTGCCCCTTCTGGCACATTCTGACTCATTCATTATATTGGTTGGTTATTTCTTTCTTCTCACCTAGAAAGGTAGCTCCCAGAGCACAGGGTTCCTGTAGTTCCCCACGTTCCAGCACATAGGGTGAGCCCCGCTTGTGGTGGGTGCTCTGGTGAACGGGTAGCAGCCATGCCTCCAACACAGACTCTAAGTCACAGCATCCCGTCTGCCTCCCCAGCATTTTCACCCCAACATGTCACAGACCTACCAAGTTTAGTCTTCCCAAAGTAATTTCCCTTCTGAAATCTACCTCTCACCCACTCTCTGCCGTCTCAGTAAATGACCAGCTGCCAAGGGGCCCCAGAAAGACACCTCAAAGTCATCACAACCCAACAGCCCTCAATCCCCCCTCCACAGCATGTCCGTCCTCCCACTCACGCCTTGTCACCACTGACCACAGCACAATCCACACCACGTCTCCTCCCACCTGGAGTTCCCGCCAACCTCCAAGACCGCCCCCTCCCCAACCCGCAGCCAGTGTGGTCTTTTGAAAACCTAAATCTGTCCTGGCAACCCTGGCTCAAACCCTCTGATGGGTTCCCGTTACACCAAAAATGAAATCAAATCTCTCACGCTTAACCCTCTGACCGGCTGGGTCTGGAGCCCCAGACCCACCGACACGGCCCTCCACGTGGTCACCCAGATTCCTCTCACTTTTCCAGTGTGTCACTGCCTGTCTGTCCCCTTGGTTCTGCCTGCTTCCCAGTCTGGACTTGAAGCCCATGAGAGCAGAGTGTTCACACCACATCCACCACTGAAGGAAAGAATGCATGGATGAATGAATGAATGAATGGTCTGGCTGGGGGAATGAGAGGTCTCAGAACCTCAAAGGAGGGTGCACACTTGGCCTTCTGACCTAAGCCATGTCCTCCAGCCCGGCATCACAGGAGAAGCCCCCCAGGTGATCACAGTGGATCACAGCTATCCCCGAGGAAGCAGCTCCTGGTTTTTCCCTCTGCCCTTGAATTTGTACCATGAAGCCCCATCCAAAGGCCCTGGGAGCCTGGGAGGGATGTTGGGCACCAAAGCCTGTGACCTGCACTTTCTCTGAGCATGATGGGTGCCTGATTGGGCCCAGGGCATCTGTATTTGAGCTTCTTTTTGTCCAGGAAACATGTTCATAAAATGCCCTAAAACATATGATGTGAAGTGCATCGTCATGGACTAACATGTGCCTGCACACCTTCCAGTGTCAAAGCTCCGTGTACCGCCTTTGCCTAACACGCCAGGAAATCCAGCACCTCATGGCCTCGTCGGGTCCGCTTCGTGCCCTTTCACCCATTTCTTCAACAGAAAAGTCCAGAGGCTGCCTGCCGACATGACTTCCTCTTTCTTCTTACACAAACATCAGTTGATGTCTGTCCAACTACAGAAATCTCTCTGCCGGAGGCGTGTGACAGCCCAGAGGGCCCCTGGCTTGGCCGTTTCCCTTCCCGGAGCTGTTTTTCAGCTTCCCCTGCAGCCACAGGTCTTAACTCAGCCCGGTGACACACGGCCAAGGACTGTTTCCCCTGCACGGTCTGCAGCTCACCTGTGTCACTGCAGCCTTGCCTGCCTGCATGCCACCCTATCAGGGCAGAAACATCTGTTTCCCGCAGGGTAATAAACAGGACACACACGCCATCTCACTCCTAAATCAAGACTTGACAAGCCTGGTCCCGTAGTGTGGGTTTCACCAGCCAGCCACCGACATGGGGCCCAACTGGCCCCTCTCAAGCCAGGGCAGAAACCAGGTTGTGTTCCCCAGCCAAGGCCCCGAGGTTCATTGCTGACCCACGGCTAGGCTTGTATTTGCTGAGTTTATTCTGGAGGACATAGTGGCCAGGACAGGACCACAACAGAGCACTGGAACTTTCTGGGACACCAGAAAAGCAAAGAGATAGGCTGCCTGCTGTCACTGTCAGGGCCAGCACTGATGCCAATCACTAATCAGACCAGAGGGAATTATGGAAAACAGTTTACATTCTCTTGGGGTGAATAGGTGCTTTCTCAGAATGAACCACATCCAGGAACTTTAAAAAATAAGATTGACAGATTCGTCTGCAGAAAAAAAATTTAGAAACCTATAAGAATAAAGTCACTATAAACAAAGTAAAATGCTACAAGAAACAGTGGCCAAAACATCTAATGTCAAAAAGAGTCTGTATTGTCAAGGTTCTTCAGAGAACAGAAGATAAATGAGAGGGAGGGAGAGGGGGAGGGACAGGGAGACGATAGATGATAGATAGATAGACGATAAAAAGAAGATAAACAATAAAGAGATGACAGAGATAGATGTATGCGTGTGTGTGTTTATGTATATACATATAGAGAGAGAGATTTATTTTAAGGAATTGGATTACATGACTGTGAGTCCAAAATCTGTAGGACAGGGGTCGGGGAGATGCATTCCAGGCAGAAAGAACAGAAGGCAAAAAGGTGTTGGGGCAGAAATGTGCTTCTTTGCAAGTTCAAGGAGCAGCTGAAAGACCAGTGCGGTCACAAGAGCAAGTAGGAATGTGGGAAGGGGAGGTCAGGCATACAGAGTGGGGGCCTAACCTCATGGAGCCACATCAGCCCCTGAATGAGTTTGAGCTTTATCCGGAGGTGATGGGAAGCCCCCGGGGCATCTGGGCAGGGGTTGTGTGAAAGTGAGCTGTGCTGCAGCCAGAGTGGAAGCAGAGGGCCTGGGGTCTGTGCAGAAGTCCCAGTGGGAGAGAAAGCAGAGGTGGACAGGTCGGGCAGTGGCAGCAGAGAGAAGTGTGCAGATCATGCAGGTTCCTGGAAGGTAGAGCTGATGGGTTTGCAGAGGATGGAATCGCACCCACATGACCTACTGAGTCACAGCATGAATGGAGTTGCCCTTCACCAAGCTCAGGGAGTCAAGAATTCTCCTTTCAGTATGGTGAGTTGAGCTGCCAATTAGATGTCCAAGAAGTGATACTGGGATGGGATGCTGCAGTTAGACATATGACGGTGGTGTCAGGAGGAAGTCAGAGATGGGTAGTCAAATCAGAACCCTCAGCACATGCTTGGTGTTTATTCTCGCAGAACTGGCTGGGATTACCAATGAGGGAGTGTGGAAAGAAGAGAAGACCAAGGCAGGGAATGCCAGAGGTCAAGGGGAAGGGAGGATTCGGCCGCCGAGACCAGAAAGCAGGAGTTAGAGAGGGACGAGGCAAAGAGGAAGGTGTCGTGACAGATCCAATAAAAGAAAGTGTCCCAGGTGTGTCCAATGCTCCTGGTAGGCTGGTCATCAGGCTGAAGAATGACCCCTGGGTCTGGCAAAGCAGAGGTCATGGTGACTTCCCAAGAGCAGACTCAATGGCAAGGGGGAGGGTCTAGACCTGACCAGAGTGGGCTCAAGGAGGACTAGGGAAGGGTATGCAGACAAACATGAGTGAAGGCGCAGCAGACCCGAGAGCAGAATCCACAAGCATGTCCAGCAGCACTCACAGGATTCTGTCTCCAAAATCAAGAAGCATATACTGCAGTCAAACATATGGCAAACTCGTAAAAATCAACCACCTGCTGGGCCATAGATCACGACTCAATCAATTTCAAAATACTTAAGTCCTACCTACCAAGCTCTCTGACTGCATTGCAAATAAGATAGAAGTCTACAACAAAAACATAAGTGAACTCCCATACACATCTCATGGGTCAAATCAGAAGAGAAATCTGTGGCTTAAATGTTTGGAAAGGAGAAAACACTGAGTTAATGCAAAGCCCAAATTTAAAAGTTGGAAAAAGGACAACAAAATAAACCCAAAGAAAGAAGGAAGGAGATAATAATCATATGAGCAGAAAAAAATCAATGAAGTATACGAAAAGAAGCAATAGAGAGGCACAGTAAATCCAAAATTATTTCTTTAAAAGGACAAATCTCTGAAGAGACTGGTCAAGAAAAAAAGAGAGATTGCAACAGATGATAGATAGGTATGTAGAAAGATAGATAGATAGATAGATAGATAGATAGATAGATAGATAGATAGATAGATAGACAGATGATAGATAGATGATAGGTAGGTAGGTAGGTAGGTAGGTAGATAGAGAGAGAGAGAGATGATAGGTAGAGAAATGAAATAAGAAGAGGGAGATAATTACTTATTGTTGAAAAGTTAATAAGAGGAAATAATAAATAAATGTAGGCCAGTAATATTTAGATAAACTGAAAAAATCCTAGAAAAGTATCTTATCAACAATGACTCAAAAAGAGAAAAGCCTCAATAGTACCATGTTTATCAAATACATTGAAGCAATAGGTTAAAATGTTTTGAATGAAAATACCAAGGCCAAGTTTCATCAAGTTTTCAAGAAACATATCATTCACATTTTATACAAACTCTTTCAAAAAGTGAAGAAGTGGGAATAATGCCCACTTCATTCTACAAAGCCACTATAACCTTGTTCAGGACCTAGACAAGGAGAGCATGGGAAACAAAGAGTATGGGACAACCTCACTCATGAAATAGATACAAATATTCCAGAGAAATATTAGCAAATAATTTTGTAGCTTGTAAAAAAGCAGATAATTCTCCATGTCCAAGTTAGGTTTACCCAAAATATAAGGATAGTTTAACATTGGAAAATCTATAAGTGTCATTTAAAGCATTAACATATTAAAGGAGAGAAATCTTAAGATCATCTGAAGGTGCAGAGAAAAATGAAAGAATTTGACACTCTTTTATGTCATAAAACTTTTTTCAAACTAAAAATACAAGTGAATTTTTTTGACTTGATAAAGTTGATCTATCAAAAACTTAACATTTTTTCTTAATGGGAAGGTGTTGGACGCAACATTGCACTGGAGTTACTGGTGTGTACAGTAAGACCCCAAAAATATTAAAGCATAAGTTTCCTAAGTAGGAAAAAATCCAGAGGAATATACAAAAATTACTATTATTAAAAGTAATAGGAATGTGGCTGCAATATCAATATACAGAAATCAGGTTTGTTGCTATAGACCAGCAGCAACCAGAAAATATCTGTTTTGTTTTGTTTTTTCCCCCAAAGCCCCAGTAGATAGTTGTATGTCATAGCTGCACATCCTTCCAGTTGCTGTACGTGGGATGCAGCCTCAGCATGGCAGGAGAAGCGGTGTGTCAGTGCACGCCCGGGATCCGAACCCGGGCAGCCAGCAGCGGAGCGCGTGCACCCAACCGCTAAGCCACAGGGCCGGCCCGAAAATATCTGTTTTGTAAAGATGCCAGATGTGTCCTTCTGTCACAGGTGTACAAGTAACATGGACCAACGCTCATCCTGAGGAGTACTATAAAATCTGGAAGAAACATTTAAAAAATCTTCTTGAAGGTAA